GTTTTAAAATATTTTAAAATCAGTGTGTCTAACACAAAACAGACGGTCTTTGACCATTGTTCTTTGCATTTAAATAAAAAAACACTGTATTGATATTTTATTACAATGAACACATTTTCTTCTTCTTCTTCTTCAGAAATCTATAATAATTCTTTTTAAATATTTATTTATCTAATAATTATTTTTGTAGATTATCGTAACGCAAAATGATTAATAAAAGATTGCATTATTATCCTTACCCGTTTTAAAGTTATAGCTTAATTGCTAAGAGGCTGTAAATTTATCTAAAAAGGGGGGTTAGAGGAAAGCACAAGGGGGGAGGAGTGTTGACTTTCGGGAAAATGATCATCTCAACATGGTCTAACAGCATAGAAAAATTCAGCTTTCCCATAGTTACTTACAACATCAAACCTATATTGATTGTGGGCTACGTAGCATCCATGCGCGCCTCGATACTACTATGAATTTTCCACGTTTACTCTTACTGAAATTAACGTAGCTCTGTTGTTTTTCACAGATTTCTTTAAACTTGGTGCTGTTGTACTACTTGTTAGTTTTTCTAACCATAAATAGTTTGTAACATGCCCTAAACAAGCGCAATATTTCCGATATTTCATTTTAAATTATTTTTAAATCTAATTTTTTGCAATAAATGTTGATTAGCGCCTAAAGTATAAGAGATAGAAGAAAGGTTGTAATAACCTTTTTGAAGGATAATATATTTAGGCGTAGATAGACGCTTAATTCACCTTTCTATCATTAACCGTTTGTGAGTTAGACGCGGAAACGTAAACTGATGACCCACGCAACTTCCCCCCCTCCCCCCCGAGTTGTGACCACCCTAGAAATGCGACATCATCGATTTTTTTAATCTACTAGATGTCCCCAACAATAATCAAAAGTCAAATTTTGTCAGACTTTCAGTGCATACTCAACCCGTTTGGCGCCTGGACTATCAGTCTTGTTTTAAACAAATGAGAACTCTCCAGGTAGTGATGTGTCAAAACCGAATCTCAAATCTCAAAACCATCAAAACTTTGGGAAAGTTTCGGTTTCGAGATTCGATCGGCCAGTTTCGAGATTCAAAAGTTTCGAAATTGAAAATGTTGACACTTTCATTTTTGAAACTGCTGACATTTTTGTGTCATTCGTTAGTATTGTTTTGTTTATAACACTGTTTATACACAAGCTGGTAGCAATGGAGCAAACAGATCACCATTAACACTAATGAAACAAGTACTGTAAATTGTAATCTGAACTGCAAAAGGCATCTCAAATACAGGAACAACAGTTAATTCAGTTTCATATTAAATAAACACAAAGAAATATTGACCTCTAAATGTTCTAACTAATCTAATATTTATTTATGTATATGTTAGTGTCAGGAGTTTCATTTATTTTAATTTTAGTTGTTTGTAAAAAATTATTTTGTTTTGGGTTCGAAGGTTATCAGTCACATAATAATTTATGTTATTATATCTGGATAAGGAGTCAATCTCTTTCAGTTTTGATTGCAAAATGAAAATATTACCATTACGTGTATATTTAGCAACCTAGACCAGGTAACTAAAGAAGTTTCGCGTTTAGGTTTTGAGATTCGAGATTCGAGAATCGGGATTTGATTTTTTTAAGTTTTGGTTTCGGTTTCGAGATTCAAAATTTCTGGTTTTGACCATCACTATCTCCAGGCTTTTTACTCTCTCAGGAAGAGCGTTAACAACAATTTCACACTATTCAGTAAATATTCATGCATGATAAAATGCATGAAGATTGCTGTTATATACATACACACATTTCTCTAACAATATGAAATAATAACGAATTTAGTAATAAATCGCGGATAAAACGAGAGCGAAAACTCACCAGCAACCACACGCAATGACGATGCAATGGCAAATACAAGGCACTTTGTGTATGAGACCTTTACAGTAGTGACTCACTTTCGTCATTTTCATGTGAGCAGACGGAAATAACCCTGAGCACAAGGCTGCCACTATCTCAAGCTACATTTCTTCCTCTTCAAAATGACATATTATATGACTAGTAGGGGTGTGCGATGCATCGAAAATGCATCGAAATTTCGATTCGATTCGATTCGATGCATCGAATCGCGATTCGATTCAGTGGTGGTCAAAAAAACGATTCGATTCACGAGGGAGTCAGTATCCATATACGAAAAACGCCTGCAGAAACTCAATGCAATACCCGCAATACAGGAGCGCGTTGCTGTTGCGTTTCCTTTACGAAGGCGTTCTTATTTAATACATTCTTTGCATTAAATATAGCTTTAATTGTTTTATATTTTTTTGTTTTGACATTGCAAATGATTAGAGGTTTTGTTTTTTGTCTTGATGTAAGCAGTGTGTGAAATATTTTACTACTGTGAACCTAGCCAAAACAAGGTAGGTTACTCCAAAATCATTTTAAAAATAAGTCTGAAAAATTGTTACTTAATACTTAACTAGTAAGATCAATGTTATAGACTGATACATTTGGTATTTTTGTTAGGTGTCTGTCGGTCCCCGTCCCCGAATTTTTGTTGGGGCAAAAGAAAAAAAAGAATAATTTATTTCCAAAGAAACACTCTTATATTATTATATCTATTACAGAGGAATTAAAATGTTCAAATGAGAATTAAAAATTAAGTTGGCTCACGACCTTTAAGAATAAAGACACAACAGAGCAATTGCCGCACTGCCACTAGCCAGAGCCAGGTCTAGTCGTCTACTGATAAGAGTAACAAGACAAAAGCCGTGACGCAACACTAACAGTGCAAAGAAAACAAAGTCAAAAGAATAGAAAGACTATTTATCCAGACATACTAGTATAATCATTTATTGTTCATTCAATACCTAATTAAAAATATATTTTAGTATTTTACATAATAAATTATAAACAAAAGAAATATCTGATATAGTGAACAGATCTGTATCTTGGTTAAATAGGGTTAAAAAAATATATTTCTAAGATCCAATACAATATTTACAACTCACAAATTACATTGAATTAATTTCTTTGAAAATAATCTCTAACAGTTTTGTGTTTTTGAAAAAAGAAATATATTTCTTTGTCTCTACTTCCTTGTTTCATCACTTGCATTTTGTCAGCAATTGAAGCAACTGGGTAGCAACCGGGTGGTGTAAGAGGGGAGGGGGAGGGTCTATGACCTTGAATTCACACATCGTTGCCCGGGCCTGGCTGGTGAGACTGATTCATTGTTTTTGTTGACATACTACTACCCTTCCTTAAGAGAAAAAGGCCCTGCTGTTCCAAAAACATTGAGGGTAGTTTAAAAACATTGACCTGTGTTGCCAAGGGCACTAGAAGATAGCATTTAACTTTCTTGTCTCTTGATTTAATATTATTTTAATCTTCTATATATTATTTAAGAGTTACTTTTCGGGTACCTAATTAGTTGTGATATTGTTTAGCTTCATTTTATGGATTTTTAATTCTTTTCATTCATTAGCTATCAAAATCAGTTGTTTTAGGATTTTAATCTCTTGCAGTACCGGTAGGTCTATACTACTGTATGACATGATATGCATTTTTTAGTCCTTATTAATTATACCATAAACAATGTTTGTATGTTATTTACTGTTTTTGAGTTTTATAGGAAATTAGTTTACACAATATCTTTTCTTCAATGAGTTCTCCACTTGACATGTTGCTTCTAGCCTATTACTATTTTAGGCCCTATAAAAATAATGCCTATGTAAAGCTGTAGGCCTACTGATGCCAATAATAATTCTTTATTTATGATGATGTAACAAATAATGTAAGTGTGAGGTTATTATACTAAGGAGGTTAGGAGGCAGGGAATGAATGATACATGTTGCATGGTGGAAACATATTATTTTTATTTTCTTCTTGCTTGCAGTCCTGAAGCCGGTCCACAGGCCCTAAACTTGTGATATGTAAATTTATTTCTTAATGGTCTTTTTATATTAAGTTCCATTCAAATTTGTTGTAATTTAGCTACCGGTACCTATTTAGTTATTTAAACAGTTATTAAAATGAGAATGAATGTCTTGATAAAAAAAACATTTTCTTCTTTCTTGCAGTTGAGCCAATTCCAAGTAAAAATTATGAAATAGGCAAGTAAAGCAGCTCACTGGTATTTCCAGCAGTTATTCTAATACATATGATTGAAAATAAATATTTTTTCACCTAAAATTCATATGTAAGTATGAATAGGCCTAATACCACATCAACAAAAATTTGTATTACACAAATGTGATAAATTTTAACTAGGCCTATTGTTAATCCACTCAATTGACAATTATGAATAGAAAAATACCGTATTGCTTCGAATCGAGTTGCATCGAATCAAATCGAAAATCTTTTGAATCGAATCGTTGCTTCGAATCGAAAATTTTTTGCTGCTTCGCACACCCCTAATGACTAGTAATAATAACTTACACTATGTAATTCGCATTTTCCGAACCAGTCTACTATGATGGTTGGCCATTTGTTATAAATTTCGAAAACAGCTGTTTTCATAAAATCGTTCCTGTTGTGCAATCAATATTTTGTTCTAAATATCAATACGACAATGAAGATAAAATCAATAGCTATCCAGTGGTACTGTCCGCAATATCCCAAGACGAAAATTACCCGAGCAGAGTAATGTCAAACAAGTCATATTTTGACAGTTCCCAAGTGTCAGCTGCAAAAGTCGTGCCGCACCAAAAATTCATTTGATTTCTAATCGTCGTGTCATTGTTATATACCTGCTACAGGATTTGTTTATATAATAAAGTGAAAGTTCAGAATGTGATCTTTCAAATGGTATACATATTGTTCACATCATAGTTGGTTATAAGCGGTTTTTCATAGTTACAAACATTTTGGCCCATACTAGCGTATTACGCTGGTGGCCATTCTAAGGCGTCACGGTTGGCCACTACTAGGGTTAAACTGAGTGTGAATCTAAATCTTAATATGCTTTTTATGAACTAAAAAAATCTTTGTTCTTACATAAAACTAGTGACAATTACCTGATATATTTCTACCGATTGTGCCTCGCTCAGTCTCAAGTCCCTGCAGATCTTCATTAACTCTAAACCTTTTTAACAAGGAAATGAACCTCTGCTTCAAGTTTCTTTGCTGGAAAATATCAAGTCGTAATTGTAATAAGTCATGGATTGCTCAATATAGAGAATCACTTGCAGTCCTGGCCTTATAAACAGCTTCAAATAAAAACTATACAATATTTACTGAATTGTGTATCCTTGTAAATTCAGACTCCTAAATATCTTGAATGATAAAAAGGGATATTTTTTCAAATATGAAAACCTGAAAGACTCTACTTGCAATATTTACAACAGTGATTGTATAAAGTTTTGACAGTTTTTAATGAACGATTTGTTGGAGATCAAATCACTTTGACACTAACCCTTGCATTGACAGGTATCTTTGACTTCCTAGACCTCCGTTCCTCCAACATGGGTTCCGAGTCTGATCCCTCCTCATTGCTGCTGAACTCCTCATCTTCATCTGAGAACTCTGCTACTCGGCCTAGAACAGAGTTTAATCCTCCCATGGATTATACATTGATTTGTGCATATTTGTTTATATTTTTTGTATAACCTGTATGTAACATGAGTATAGTGTGTACACTTGTTACTTTGATCTCTGAATCGGCACCAAGAAACAACTTTATACTCATGGTATAGCTAATTTCTGCTTCTAAACTAAGTTCTAGACCAGTGGTGTAGCCAGGATAAACTTTTTCTCCATAATATGCATATAAACTTTAAAAATTAAACATGGGCCTTGCAGGTTGCCAAGCTGCCATGTTTTATAAGAATGAAAACAAAAGAATATTAACACGTTTGTACAGATCAAAAGTGGAGACCAATCGGATTAATATAATTGAGTATGTTATACCACAGAGAAGTAAGATACAGAGGATACATGCTTATGAAACAACCGTGCGCTTTTAGCTCTGGAATGGTAGGCGGGAAATATACTAGCACCGACCAAGGAAAAGCCCGAACCGCTATTGTTTATGACAGCAGTTGTAGCGCACAGGCTCTTTCTACAGCGTGAGCGCTGTAGTACGTGATGTAGAGGAGAGGAACGTTGCTATCACTCTTTGGCTCCTTCATTTCAGTGAGTAGGGCCAATCATAGAGCAGCATTTCATCCCTCCCCGGAGGAGGACCCTAGTTGTAGTAATAGTGTGTCTAATTGCTAGAAATATTGTGAGCTAATAATTAGGTATGAATCCCATAAGCGGGTCTAATTAGCTATGCGTGTCTAATTGCTGGAAATGTTGTGTCTTAGTCTTAGATAATGAAACACATTGCTCAGTAGAGAATGTTTGGTACTTTGGTATTATCCAGAAGTCACTTATTTTATATTTTTTTTACCCGAGACCAAAATAACTACATAATTGGAAAGAACAAACTTTAATTGACTTACTGTCAAAATTTGACATGATTACGGTTAGCGGCCTTTGAGTTCTGCCTCCCAGAAGGCAACGATGTCGGCGAGGATTGAGTTGAATGCGTCGCCGCCCCTAGCTGCCACATGTACTCCACCAAGTAGGTATACAGCGCGCTGCGGCAGTTATGTTATCATAAATATGTCTGTAGGACTTTCCTTGTTTTGTTATGAATCTAACAATACCAGAGATACAGGCGGTGACAGGTGATGCGCATGCTGCGATCAACAACCTGACCTTGGCCTACTTGGAGAGGGTTTGGCGGGCGAAAGTATGACTCATCTGGTATCGTCCGATTCATAACGAAACGAGGAAAGTCCTACAAACATATTTATGATAACCCAACCTAACATAACCACCGCAGCGAGCTGTATAGAGGTAGCCTTCGGATAACACCAAAGTACCAAATGTTTGAATACTAAGACAAACCACATATTTCTAAAATTGAGATTTAAATATAAACTAGTGTCCCTGTTGCTCGAATTCGAGCAATTGGTAAGTATTACAGGCATTATTTTAAAATGAATGACAGTCATAATTTCTGATTACTTTAAAAGATTCGACGCACAGATTATGGAAATACTCAAGATGTACATAACAGATCGTTATAATCAACATTTTTTGTAAATATCTTGTAATTTTTCAAAAGCTGATCTTGTTTTTTAGTGTTTTCTACAAATAGCCTTACTTAGCCGCATTAGGTTGTCCATAATAACGATTATAAATTGAAAAAAAAAATATTATTTCTATTTCTTCTCCTTGGTGGTGTTCTATGACTTTCCTATGTTTCCAGTTTGCAAATCGACTCTTTCAATGATTACTAAGAAATGCAGCACAGTGTTAATTCAGTTTTCTTTTTAGTATATCAATTTATCCAGGCTCTCTCGTTTTTTTCCATTGTAATATTTACGCCAACCCAAATTCAAATAGTAAGTACTTCATTTCAACCAAGTCAGTAAATGTTTGTAGCAAACTGTTAAATTAGAAATTTTATTGACTGTACAATTAACATATGATCTTCTTCTCACTTTTAATTTCTGACAACAGCTGGAGTTTCATAACAATGTTTGTTTCCCATGTTAATCTTATGGAGAAATGCAAAATTTTAAAGGGCCCCAGGGCCTCACTCTCTAATTATTTCCCTAAAAAGAAAGTTTCCTGCACAACTTCACGTTACGCTCTTTCCAATGACACCAAAAACATGTCAATCGGTTCAGTAGTGAGTAATTGTCACAAAAAACCTGCTTGCGTATTAAATAAGTACTAGAGAACCCGTGCGGCTCAATGAGCCGCATAGTATGAAACATAACGCAGAGGAAAACGTTATGCTTAAATTCGAGTAATTCTAGTTACATCTTAAAGTTGTTTAAGTAGAAGGTAATTTTAAATATCTCTATTTGAGTCGTCAAGGTTCACCTCCATTATTTCTGCTCTCAGTTTCAACTGACAACTTCTAATGAATGCTAAACGATCTGCTTCAATTCGACTTGACATGCTGCAACAAAGTTTTTTCCAGCATTAGCAAATGAAGAACACTGTTGCCTTACTGATAACCTGTGTTTAGTAATTTAAGTTGGGTCATTTTATTTCTTTGATTTGAGACAACCCCCTAATCAAACGAATTTTCTCCGCAGAGAATCCTGAAAAGTGGGGTGATATGAACCATTTCTTGTGCTCCATTTTTACCCACAAACTCTGGGTTACCACCTGGACAGCCATAATCTGCTTTGAATAGGCTAAAATAGCAACACCATTGAAAGTTGGTTAACATATTTTAACGTATTGTCTGTCAGTCACAGTATATGCCTCGCATCAGACCGTTCTCACATTGTTCAGTTGAGTTTCTCTTAATACCTGCCCCAAAGTTTTGAAAGTATGGACTAATTTGTCGAAATAGGTTGGATAACTCATGTAGATATAAGATTTGGATAGCAATTTTCACTATCTTTTTTTGAACAGCGAATATCATTTGCCTCTCCTGAATCATAAAAATAAACTTGACCGTTGAATACACAAACACTAATTCCTTTACTTATGTTTGGTCCAATATTGCCATGAAAACTTTCAATAGCAAATGAGTTTTTGAAACTTCTTATTTTTGACTTGAAATGTCTGGATTGTGTTGGTGAATTCAGTCAAAAAACTATGTAGAAGTTTTTCCGAGGAACTGGCAACATAACCTAGTTGTAAACAATCCATTTGCGTTTTTTCTCAATTGAAGTAAAGCGAGTAATACAAAAGTTTAAGGTCCGCCAAGATTTGGAATAAACTTACTACTTGAACTTGTCATAGTCAAAGCATTATTATAGTTTCTACTAAATATTTTGGATATCTCGATCTGTCAGTGTCAAAAGTAAACATTTCTTGCATTCATCCATTTGATCTGACATTAGGCAATGTGTATCTGGATGGGTTCTGTTAGACCAGGCCTTTTTCTACTCTACTCATACGCATTAAATATCTTATTTATTAATTGTCTCCTCCTTCCGTTTTCAATATTTCTTCTTTTAACTTGAGGTAATTTCTGTTCTTCCAACAAAACTGATTAGCTGTTTAACTTGGTCTTAACCTACTGAATATTACAAACATCATTATTTACTCCCAAAAAGCTAATGAGTTTCTTTTTATAAACAGCTGTTTTTTGTTTTTAAATTTGTTCTATGTATTCCTTATGGGGAAACTCCGACCTTTGATAGGGTCCCATGCCCTTAAGAGTAGAAATTTTAAAATTAAAAAATCTTATTGCAAAACTACATATTGAGACGAATCTTTTGAAACGTTGAAATTGGTCCACAAATAAAGGAGGAGTTGCGTTAACAAGAAACGGCTTCACGTATCTTCTATATATATATAATACGCTAAGCCGATTTTTGTAAACAGAACTCCTCCCTCATTTTTGGACCGATTTTGATGATTAAAATGTCAAACAAATAGCCCTGATCTGTAGTTTTGCAAAGTGTTTTTAGTTTTTTGATATCTTTATTAGTTTGGGCAGGATCTTCCATCAAAGTTGGGGTTTCTCCCATAAGATTAACATGGGGGAATCTAAATATTTAATTGGAAACTTTGTCTCCACTAATTAGAGAGAACGGCTGGGCGTAGAAACTTTGTAGAGGTGTTCAAAGAAAGGTCTTGGTCTGTAGATGAGTTATCAAAAGAAAAACAAAGTAAATTCGCTTAGGGCTCTGACCCAGAAGCCTTTAAATATCCCTACACAGATTTGTTTACATTTTGGCCATGTGGATAATACTTTTTAATGAAACAGCTGTTAGCTTTAAATTAAACAACACACATTTATTGGGAGTTAGAATTGTCCAAAAGAAGTATTTTCAATGTTATTTTCTGATTTTAAAATTGATTTTCTTCTGTATCATGTCATTTGCATTATTTGTTGCCAATGAAGACGCACGACCATATAAATGAGGAGGCCCCTAACAGTTCAAGAATAAAATCCAACTTCACTTCAAGTATATTCCACTACACCTAACATTCTGTTGAGATATTATATTGACAACTTTATGTAATTGATAAGGCTGAGACAACTAAGTGACATCCCCCATGTCAAGGAATTCCAGCTTTAACAGTAACCCCACAACCAATTTCTCAAAACATCGCTAGAGGGTTATTCATTGGCACAGAAGTAAGATATGAACTGACTCATTGTGACGAAGGAAAACTCAAACTTACACTGTAACGGATATGCCTCCGTTTGAAGTTGGAACGTGTCTTCCCAACAAACAGATATTTTTCCAAATAAAATCCTCGATTAATCTGCATTACACTGATGGAATCACAGAAGTGTTTAACTACAAAAGATCCACCAATACGATTTGAATACTATATAATGGTTCTTCCAAAGGAAGAGATGCCAGATAACATACTAATATAATAACTCCGATGACGTACAGAATGGGGAATATTTTATTCATTGAATGATCAACCATATTTTGGTAACTTAGGCAATTTATATCATTATTGTTTTTACACTTATTAATCTTTAAACAATGCTAAATGCTCAAAATATGTATAATTTCACTCAATTTATCGCAGCAGATGAATTAGCGTGCGCCTTGAAAGTAACCGTCGATTTCAACGGGTTTCACCTAGTTATATATATAGATATTTACAAAAACTAAGTAAGATAAACTACATTCTTTTTAAAATATTTACAAAAATTAAATTATTTTACAATTTTCATTCTTCTGTTTCATTGCCAAGGTTCTGTAACAAAACAAGGAAGTGTTAATGGTGTACATGATAAGAGCCTGCTGGTTGTGCTACTTTACTGTCCTATTTTGCGTTCACATTTACTTTCACTGTGTGTTGAATCACTATGCACCACTTAGTGTATGGTAACTGTATGTGTGTGCTCTTGGCATAAGTATTGTGCTGTCTTAGTGGTGATAAAGATAGTGGTGACTGGGACGGGTGGCGTCGTCCTGTAATCCAGCTACTAGGAGGTCACGAATTGTGGAATTTATAGGGATGCACTGTGGATGCGATGCTCCCTGGTGTGGATTAACGTCCGCACTAGTGAGTACTACGACTATCCGCAGTACTATCCTGATAATTAGACCAATTCGTAAATTACAAGGAAAGAATGTGGTTCGGATTCCACTATAAACTGTAGGTCCCTTAGTTGCCATTAGCTGTATGGGCTATTAATTAACAGCTGTGTCTAAGGAACATGTCGGCCTTAGTCACTAACAAGACTACAAGATCGCGCACTCATCCTACACTCATCCTTCACTCATATTTGGGTTAAAATACGCACATAGTGGCGTCCCCATCTTAAATAATTGATAATTGAATTGATTGATTGATTGATATTGCATAATTATTTTATAGTGTTTTGTAATTTGGGTGAAAAACTCTGTAATTGCAGCTGTTAATTGTTCTGGAATGGAAGTGGAGCTAGCCCAAGTGTGATTGGTTGTAATAAGCTTGCCCCTGATTCGTTTTAAATAGGTGATCTTTTGTGTGATTGGTCAATTGCGCTACTCCTACTCTTCAGTACTAATTTTATTTCACTTTGCGTCTGGAATTGTACGTGTTAGTCGTGTGCTCTTGTGTGTGATGTTTTTGACGTGTGTGATGTTTTAGGGTTTATATTGTTTTTACCAATTTTGTAGGGATAGACGGGTCCCGAAATATCAGGAAATTTTCCCGTTTTTTGGGACAGGATTTGATCCGATCGTCGGCGATTTTGCCGTTTCGCGAGACATGTTCTTGATAGTTCCGCGAACGCAGAAGGCGAAGTCATTTTGACAAATGCGCCGTGACCTTGAGTCATTTTGACGATCGCGCTGTGACCTCGAGTCATTTCAGCAATCGTGCCATGACCACGAGTCATTTCGACGATCGCGCCATGACCGCGAGTGGTCACGGAATTCAGGGAATTTCCCGAATGTGCTGATTTACAAACATTAGTTGTCTTGCAGTATGTTGTCCCTAGAAGTCTTGCTTGTAGTGCACAATAGTTTTAATTTAACTAGGGGTGGGTCACCTTTCTACCCCATAAGGACTTTTACACAACTTTCAATTTTGTTAGTGTCAAGTCTATGGGGAATTCTTTAAATGTGCTCATTTACAAACATTAGTAATATTTTTTAGTTCAATTGTAGTCGTGCTTGTAAAATAAATATTTATGATATAATAACTGTATTTTCAATCCCACATGCACCCTCAAAATAAGGGAGATATAGTATACAGTAGGGGTGTGCGAATAGTGATTTTCAACCTCGAGCCGAGCCGAGCCGAGCTTTTTAAAATATTTTCGAGCTCGAGCTTTTTCGAGCCGAGCTTTTCCTTATTATTATTAATAATAATAATAATAATAAATCTTTATTGTCGTTTGGTAATATAAACATTACAATAGACAAGGTCAACATGTTTTGTTACATATGTTAAATAAAATATTAAATATTCTACAGAAAATGTTAAAATAAAGTTAAAAGAATCTTAAAAGGATAAAGCATCAGTAATAATAAAAACTTTAAAATTAACAGGGAAAAGACCATAACAAGAACAAAGAATCATCAAGACTGCTTGGCCTCACATTTAAGCGTTAAAAAATCTTCATTCTGCAAAAACTCATCAACTGAATAAAAAGCACGACTTGTAAGCCAATCTGATAATTTTGACCTATACAAATTAATACTTTCCTGATTTCTAAAATGTATTGGAAGTTTATTAAATAGTTTTATTTGCAAATATTTATAACTTTTGATAAATTTTGATAGCCTGGCTTGAGGAATATATAAATCTTTTGATTGTCCGGTGATATACCCATGGATTGAGTTGCAAGGAACAAATTTATTCAGATTATCTTTAACGGAAACTAAATTGTAAAAAATTAAAATATTAGAGAGTGTCATGATTTTATTTTCAGCAAAAAATTACAACCAAAAATTGCAACTAACCCTATCTGGAATTTCAAACATAATTCTGAATTCTGAACATTATCAAAAAAATAAATTATTAAACATTTTTCTTCAAAAAGTGCATAATAATAATAATGTTCAGTCAATTTTTAAATAAACACAATATTATTTTAATATGTCTAAAAACATTGAGAATTGTCAAGACATCAAATAGTAGATAATCACGATAAGAACTGAACTGAACTAAATTAAGATGCAAGAAATAAAAGGATATGATTGAAGGCCTGATGAGATATGCAGTGCAGACTGAGCCAATCAGATTGTCTTTCATAACAGAACAGCGCTAACTTGAATGACAACAAAACAACTAGCAAGTCGATTAAATATGTATGTTGTAACTACTATGAATACTTTATTCCATTTTGTATAAATAAATAAATATAAAAACACGTGATTATTCTTGTTGTTTTCCATGCACAAAATATTTTTGTTTTATGAATCGTATTAATCAAAAAAAGAACATGATTGGTTAGGATCCAAAAAGGTGAAGAGACAAAGTAAAAAGTAAAATTATATATTAAAAAATATATAATTGACATTTAGAGGAAATAGACCAAAACACTAAAATTAATAGAATAACACACAAAGTAAACAAGAAATGAAATAATGAACACGATGATTTAACACTGTCACTAAATTCTGTTATCTAGAAGGGTCGGTGAACTAATCAATAAATAGCCAAAACCAGTTTCCTCCCCCATTTCTCTCTCAGTCTCACCACCACCCCTCCCCCCCTGAGCCGGGAGGCCCAGCACTTTGTCCTTGAAACACCCTAGCCTCTGAAACAATAAACCCTTACACCCGCGTTGCTGTTTTGACAACAGGGTTATGAATGCATTCACTATTTTTCATTTTCCAGGATTAACTATCAATTATTATTATTTGCAAGTTATAAATAGGAAACTACATCACATTATGGTATTCAATGACCCATGTATTATCAAAAATTAATAATACATTACTTATTTTGATAGTAAAAAGCATTCATTACAGCACCACCACTTATTGATATTTAAATAATCATCAAAGTAACTGTTACTTTATACAAAATAAAATAGGTACAAAATTGTGTGGCCAGTCAAACTTTATAAACAAACATTTTATTCTATAAAATACAGATGGTAAATAGGGGTTGGTTTAAAGGAAATAAAATACAAAACAGATAATTAATTATTTTGATAAACATTAGAAAGGTTATGGGATTGATTGAACTAAAATAACCGCAGGGAAACTTATAAGTAGAAAAGTCGTCAACCACAATCTGTTCAATCAGTACATTGTTAGAGAGAGCAGAGAGAGAAAGAGAGATAGCAGATAGGGGCGTTTGATAAGGAATCTGAAAAAGTAAACAAACAAGGAACAACGACACGACACGACGATTGATACTTGTTTACAGCCTTATTGTGTCACCCACTACATTTGCACACGTGACCACTTTTTGTTTCTTCCTTATCTTTCATCCGTCCCAAAATAGAATTCCTGAAATTGTTTGTTGGTACAATCTCCCCTCCCACACAAGGCGCAGTGCTCAGTGCGCACTGTAGGTTGTCACGGCAACCGTGTGTCGTCATAGCGACGAGCCAATCACGCACTCGCACTGCGTTGTATATTACGATACGAATAGCTGTGTTAGAAAGACATCGCGATAGGTGGTAGTTTGTCTCTTTACTATCTCCTCAAAATTACGATCGATAATCATTGCGTCTTGACTGAGCTGAGGTTCGTGCTTATCAAACCTTGAATGCTTGAACAACGTAGAATTGTGATAACATTGTTTCCAATTACGACCCAAATTAAGTGTTTTTTTTTAGTTTTGACTTAGTATTAAAAGCTCGGCTCGAACTTCGAGCTTTTTCAAAATACCTCGAGCCGAGCCGAATAATGAAAAGCTCGACCAAAAAGCTCGAAGGTTCGAGTACTCGCACACCCCTAGTATACAGTAATACTAAAACCAGTTACTCTGGATATAAGTATCATAGTATATAATGCCTGAACCTGGGGGTGTCCTTCAGACACTCGGACAGTCCCAAACCCTGTCCTAAAGGTTGCACAAACCATTATCAACAGATATATTTTTCTCACACAAAATTTACCATAATTCACAACATTTCCGGCAATTAGACACACTATTAATCACACACACACTATTAATATAACTGGGGTCCACCACCAGGGAGGGATGAAAATGCTGCTCTCTGATTGGTCCTGCTGGTGCCTTCCCTACTTTAGTGACTTAGGCTTGTGCTAAGGTGCTTATATTTACCTGAGTGTTTGGTAGTTTCCTCGTGGTCTACAGGCTGACTGTTCAAGGCTTGCACAGACACTCTTGCCACAACATTGCTATGATTCTTTGGCTCCTTCATGTCAGTGACTAAGTCCAGCTCCAGATCCATCTGTCTTTGCAGCACCTATGGAAATAATCCAAATGTTTCTTTAGTAGGATATTAAAAACGTACTTAATTGAAAATCAGAGTGGCCACAAAACTCCCGGGAATAAATTAACCTTTTTTTCCCAGGTTCCTGGCAGCAATACCTGCTGGCTTCCGATATATTTAGATTGGGTTGAGACAACAGTTAATCTGAGGGATCGGTTTAGGCCATAAATTAATTAAAATGGTATAAGATTACCTGTTTCTGTCTATGATCCTAAATTTGTATTAATGAGCAACCGGTTTTGAGGTTATAACCTCATCATCAGGCTCTTGTCACTCTTGCGAGGTCGTCGAGTTTTATAAACACACAAAACACTGACATTTAAATAAATAAAACACAAGACATTGACAGACGAATATGATTTAACATAAATTCGGGAATACTAGTTCCACACACAACGCGGCACGGGCAGATGTTTTGTCATGACTGGGGTTGTGGCTGACCTTGCTGCCCCCTCCCGTTATCAGAACAATGCCGATGGTATTTTTGCCTCTCATTATTGTAGATGTGAATCACTGCGTCGTAGATTATGTTAGCTTTAAATTATGTTTGTTCATTAAAAACTTTTTGGGGCTCTGACTTGATGGCTTTGTAGATTTCAAACTCTTCCATACTATTTAAAAAAACTTCCTTTTCTTGGGCAGAGATGTAGTATTTTTAAATTCTTCTCAAAACTTGTGTAAATATGGTTTTCATTTATTAGATGGTTGGCGAATGTTGATTTCAAATCTGATTTTTTACTGGACGGGATGTGTTCTTTATATCTTATATGAAATGAACGAGATGTTTGGCCTATGTAATATTTTTCACAGTCATCGCACTGAAGCTTCTAAACCCCAGTTTTGTCCTCCTTCCTGGTTGTCTGTTTATTATTATTTTCCTTCAACATGAGCTCAGTTTGTTGTTTGCTCTTAATGAAACTGTGACATTATTTTTTGCCATTTCCTTCTTTATTGTGTGATTGAGGGCAAAACCGTAATCAGTGGAAGCAAAACGTTTTCCAGGGGTGGGTGGATTGGTCTGAGTTTTTTTATTTTTATGTCGGTTTACTAATTTGTCAATAATTATGCTTTTATAACCATTGGCTATTGCGGTGTATTTTATAATCAGGAGTTCTTTTTCATAATCACCATGACTTAATGGGATAGACAATAGCCTATGGACGAAGCTGTTGTATGCGGCCATTTTTTTATCATAACGATCAACATGTTGATGACGTAATAATTCTATTTAATGGCAACATCAGACAGCTCAGCTGTGACACAGTCACGAACAGTAAAAGGGTGCAAAAACACCCTCAAAATGTTAGCAGAGCGGAACCAAGTCAAATTGTCTTGGGTTCGTAGACATTCGGGGCATGAGGGGAACGAAAAAGCCGATGCATTGTCCAAGAAGGGTGCGGAGGACCAACTGTCAGGACCAGAACCCTTCTGTGGTACCCTTATAAGCTCAGGAGTAGCCAAAGTCCAAGACTGGGTCTAGGCTAAAAAGGCTTTGGCCTGGAGGAACTACCCAGGAATGAGGACGTCTAAATTACTAATTGACCCCACTGATAAAGGTTGGAAAGGCTTGCTGAGCCTTAAAAAAGGGGACATTAGTCTACTAGTAGGAGTGTTAACAGGGCACGGTCCTATCATGAAACATCTCAGGACCATAGGTAGGTCACAGACAGACCTCTGCAGGTTCTGCGAGAACGAGGTAGAAACCTCAGAACACTTATGGCTGGACTGTCCAGCGTTGGCCCAAAGAAGGCTTACATCTCTGGGGAGGTTATTTCTGGAACCAACAGAGATAAGGAAGCTTTTCAGCTCCTGGGCTACATGAGAAGCCTAGGGCTGTCAGAATGATTTAAAGGGTGCTACAATAGGTCTCCAGGCCGTAGTAGGGGTAGGCTATTACCCCAACCCCACAAGAAAAAAAAAATGAAACTGTGACATTATTTTTAGCCATTTCCTTCTTTAATGTGTGATTGAGGACAAAACCGTAATCAGCGGAAGAAAACGTTTTCCAGGGGTGGGTGGATTGGTTTGAGTTTTTTAATTTTTATGTCGGTTTACTAATTTGTCAATAATTATGCTTTTATAACCATTGGCTATTGCGATGTGTTTTATAATCAGGAGTTCTTTTTCATAATCAGCATGACTTAATGGGATAGACAATAGCCTATGGACGAAGCTGTTGTATGAGGCCATTTTTTTAATTATAAGGATGATGCGATGAACAGTGTATGGTTTGGTCAGTAGCCGTGGGTTTCCTGTATATACTAAAATTAAGTTTTGAGTTGACTTTTGTGATTTTGAGATCTAAATAATTTATTGAATCATTGTTCTCTGTTTCAAGTGTGAATTGTACATTTTTGTGAATTTTATTGAGATTGTTGGCAATTAGGTTGAGCTGTCTGATGTTGCCATTAAATAGAATTATTCCGTCATCAACATGTTGATCGTTATGATAAAAAATGGCCGCATACAACAGCTTCATCCATAGGCTATTGTCTATCCCATTAAGTCATGCTGATTATGAAAAATAACTCCTGATTATAAAACATATCGCAATAGCCAATCGTTATAAAAGCATAACTATTGACAAATTAGTAACCCGACATAAAAATAAAAAAAAACTCAGACCAATCCACCCACCCCCGGAAAACGTTTTGCTTCCGCTGATTACGGTTTTGTCCTCAGTCACACATTAAAGAAGGAAATGGCAAAAAAAAATGTCTCCGTTTCATTTAGAGCAAACAACAAACTGAGCTCAATGTTGAAGGAAAATAATAATAAACAAACAACCAGGAAGGAGGACAAAACTGGGGTTTACAAGCTTTAGTGCGATGACTGTGAAAAATATTACATAGGCCAAACATCTCGTATAAGATATAAAGAACACATCCCGTCCAGTAAAAAATCAGATTCGAAATCAACATTCGCCAACCATCTAATAAAAGAAAACCATAATTACACAAGTTTCAGAAGAATTTAAAAATACTACATCTCTGCCGAAGAAAAGGAAGTTTTTTAAATAGTAGCCTATGGAAGAGTTTGAAATCTACAAAGCCATCAAGTCAGAGCCCCAAAAAGTTTTAAATGAACAAACATCATTTAAATCTAACATAATATACGACACAACGATTCACATCTACAATAATGAGAGGCAAAAATACCATCGGCATTGTTCTGATAACGGGAGGGGGCAGCAAGGTCAGCCACAACCCCAGTCATGACAAAACATCTGCCCGTGCCGCGTTGTGTGTGGAACTAGTATTCCCGAATTTATGTTAAATCATATTCGTCCGTCAATGTCTTGTGTTTTATTTATTTAAATGTCAGTTTTTTGTGTGTTTATAAAACTTGACGACCTCGCAAGAGTGACAAGAGCCTGATGATGAGGTTATAACCTCGAAACCGGTTGCTCATTAATACAAATTTAGGATCATAGACAGAAACAGGTAATCTTATACCATTTTAATTTTCAAGAAGTGATCCTGGACCAAAGAACATCATTAAAAACTAATGTCGGGTCAAGCCACGGTCGTTTGAGCTGAGCCGCAGAGAATTAAGATACAGAAGATACAAGCTTGTGGAACAACCGTGAGCTTTTAGCTTTGGTATGGTGGGGTGGAAATGTACTTGTAACGAGCCAGGAAGAGCCTGATCGGTGATAGCCACATAGAATTTTTATACACAGCAGTTGTAGAGCACAGGGTCTTCCTACAGCGTGAGCGCTGTAGTTCATGATGGCAAGGGGGGAAAGGACAGCCAAAGGGGACAACGAATAGAATTTGCTCTAGACACCATCGACTAGTAAAGACACCACTTTAGTGTACCATTGAATGTATCCTCTGTATCTTACTTCTCTGTGGCAGAGCCGAACAAATATTTTTGTGACTGCAAAAGCGTTTACGAAGAGGCGCGATCAATTTCCTTCATGATCTTACTTCTCTGTGGCAGAGCCGAACAAATATTTTTGTGACTGCAAAAGCGTTTACGAAGAGGCGCGATCAATTTCCTTCTTATTAGTAAGAATTAATCTGAGTCAATATATGTATGTACAAAAATACTGATAATCAATCAAAAATATCTACATATTTTAACTTATTGATTTTACAACTAAAGATATTTTTTGCTGTGAACAAATAATAGTATATTAGGTTACTACTGCGGAAAATAGGTATAAGACAAGTACGGTAAATACATTTTGGACGAGTGATGTCGATATTTTTGACCATACAACACTTAACTAACCTAACAATAAAAATACCCCCGCCCCAGCAATTTACACTAAAATGCCTCCTTAAAAATTTCACATTTATTCCCCATTTAGATAGAATTAGTTTAATGAGTACTTTTGCTGCAACAGGGAGGAAAAAAAGTGTTTTTTGTTGTAAAATGTAAATATTTGAGTAAGAAATTAATGTATTTTCCAAATTTGATCAAAATATGTTCATAAACAAGCAAACTATAATAAATAACTTTCTTCCGGACTAAATCCTTGTGTGGAAAATCCATTAAAACAGTGTAGTGTGTCAAAGATTTATACTGAAACTTTCAATTTGTTCACAACGATAGAATAAGAGGATCAAATCAAGCCTACAAACTATTCAATTCAATCCAATTGAAAACATCTTTATTCGTTAGCATATATTGTATACAAAAATGGCGTCTATAAGACTAACTCTTCATTGATAGTTCAGCTAAGTTCACTTGAAAAGTTTTATACAAGCTTAAAGAGTTGTTTTTTAATTGTTTTTTATAGGAGGTAATGTTAAGACTTCGGCGTGTTTTAAGATAACAGGTATCAATTTTATATTTACTTGCAGATTATGAGCAGTTCATGCTCATCGAGAAATGAATAAGAGGAGGTTTTTCTGAGTAGTAACTCGTTTCAGTGAGGTAAAGAACAAATACATTGATAATGTAACCCTGGATGTTAATCTGACTAATGATGACTCAGAATCAAATTATTTTTTGTACGGTACTTTGATGTTAACCCTTAACTGCGCACGTGGGGTTACTACGATCATTTTGTCATAATTTTACAAGTATGGTGGCAACTCTGGTAAGCATAACAGCAGCTGCCTAAAATAGCATATGCTATCATCTGGCCGCAGGGTTGTTAGTCTTGACCGAGTTATTGACCTGTTATCACCACCCTGGGTCTGGCATACCTCCACGCGCATGCTTGTCAACCGCTTAGGGGTTAATAACTTATATGGCAAAAGTCTAGTTTTAAAATTTGTCCAATTGTATGTCTTATAATCGGCTTCTTCCCGCATGAATAAAATCTAATCGGAATTTTGATTCATTTTCAATACACAACCCTAATAAATATCTTATCTGCTTACCTGAGACATGTTGATAACGCCTTCTGCTAAGGTTTTATATCCTAAAATCGTCCTATTTTTATATCTTTTGCGCCTTTGTAGCATGACATGTAGTTTATTACCATCTTGCTTCAAAAAGTGTGGATACTGTAACAGTATAATAAAAGATTGAATAAACATGCAGACAAATAAACATTTTTATTCCTGAGCCATACGAATTGACATATCATGTCATCTACATAACATGTATATGTTTTTGGCTGGATGCACGCTGGTAAGGTCGGTGACCTTCTAGGAGCTTATAGAACGATCTAGAAGTTCGACGGAGGTGTTTCCGGTTTTTTCTCCTATCCAGTCTCTAACCTAAACCAAACTAAAAAAAAAAAAAAAAAAACTAGAAGGATAAAATTATAGGTAGACTAGGCTTATTTAGTGTTTAAGTGTAATATATTGTGTAAATGGTTGCTTCCTATACTAATCATTGTTGTTTGCAGCTTGTAATTTCTGAAAGCTGAGTAGTGGAAATTTAGACTCTGAAGTGAAAAATCTGAACATATTGGCTAAAGTAACAGTAATCGAACCAATGTCCATAGTAAATTAACATTGTCTAATTTATTCCAATAAGAAATGTATTCTGAAGACTGCAAACACCAGGCCTAAAGCAGACATTCTATATCAGAGGCCAAGCCTAAATAACTGTCAAATATAGGTCTATGTTATATAAGATATTGTTAGGTCTGGAGTTATGTTAAAGGGCTCACGGCTCCGACCAGCACCAGTCTAAGCGGAGATTGTCAAGGCTGACCCAAGCTGACCTACGGTACAGGACCGTGGTGACCACCACTGCTCGCCAAAACGAATCCATGCCGAACCAACTACTCAATCGCAGCTTCCAGCCTGCAGAAACCCGTGACCATACACAAAGTTGTTTCTTTCTGCTAATAGGGTCCATTAACTTGTCAACAGTCCACTCTATCAAACTTCAAATTCGACATCTCAACCAGATTTAGTTTACTCCATAGTTCTTCTATAGCCCCAATAGTAAATAATTTGAAAAGAAGTAGGCCTAAGAAGGACAACCTCGGTCCTTTAGGAATAGTTGAAGCTAAAAAAAAAAATAAAACAACCCTATGGAATTCAATGAAACGTTTACTAAATGTGTATTTATCTACAGTGTTGGGGAAGCTACTTTTAAACTGTAGCTAGCTACAACTACTGCTACATTTCTAAAAAAGTAGCTTAGCTACAGCTACAGCTACAGTTCTGAAAAAGTAGCTAGCTACAATGAAATGTAGCTACAGCTACAATTTTAGCTACTTTTCCACAGACGTTACTTTTTATTCCACGCACATTAGGTAAATGTAAAATCAATTGAAACTAAATTTTTATTGAACAAACATTTAAACAAAAAATGTCAGTATTGTATCTACCTAGATACCTCTAGATTGTATTTAATTTGTTGGCATTATAAACCTAAAATTACAACAACAGAACCAAATAGTTGGGTGTGCCATCATACTTATTTTTAAATATTGCATTATTTTTAAGCATCTTATATGTAAATTTCATTAAGTTCAAAGGACATACAACACAACTATATTTTAAAACTCATTTTTTTCTTTAATATCGTTTATTTATGGATGTCTTATATCAACAATTAAGACCAATAAAACTGTAAAACGATTATTTAAAAATACTTTTTTTGTGTTACAGAGCCTAGCCTACTGAAATTGGAGTTTATTGCCTTTCTTTACTTTTAATGTTAAAAACGACATTGCTATATAAATTTTTACCGTGGTGATAAGTCACTTGTTCTATGAATAGCACTTTTCAATGTCAAGAAATCGTCCTTTATTGTCATTATGCATAGGGCAAATTGTGTTTCAACCTAGTTGGTACAGAAAACAGTATTCAGCAACTTATCCTGAAATCGGCTTTTGATTTAAACATGTTGAAATTTGTAAAGTAAAAATAACATGTAGGCCTACTTGGCTATGTAACAAGTTGGCTATAGTAGTAGGCTTGTTCTTGCAAGGACTAAACAGATATATTCCTAATAATTGAACTTGGAACTTGGTATTCGTCTTAAATCACAGCATAGCCTAGGAATAGTCCTATGCAAGAGCTGTTAGCAGGAGTAAACTATGCTATTTTTTCAATCTAAGTTTCATGTTACTTATATGGAGACTTTTTCGTTACAATTATCATGTAGTCTACACATATCTTAAATCTCATCAGGTAATTTCCTCTTTGTTAATTTAGTAAACCTTTGAAAAATCTTCGTAATCTAACCAAGGAAGGGCTTGTGATGATGAACCACAATCAACAGCTGAAGCTAGACCAGCTTCCTCATTATTTTAAGGTTTAGTGCTGGTTTCCATTAAAACCCAAGTTGAAACACTATCAATATAATAAAGAAACTATATTGATTACTAATTTCCCTGTCAATCACTTGCAAGCATTCAGTAGCTTCTCTTGTCACCGGTAACGTTTAAACGTCGTCTGCATCTAGCGATTTTATTTTATCTGACAGTAATCATAGAGTAGTAAATTAAGGAAATGGAGAGCCAAAAATGTGGATAACTCTCATTTAATGGCCTCCATGTCCACACAACGTTGTAATAGGGAATGAAACGGCTGCAACCAGCTGTATGAAGCCAAGAAAGTAGGCCTAATTTTTTTGAAAATCTCAGTTTGAAAGAGGTTGTTTCACGTAAGGTTGAGGTTATGATAAAAATCACTATCTTACACAATGTTAATGTAGCGAGAAAAGTAGCTAAAATTCCGCTACAACTACTTTAAAAATGTAGATAGCTACAGCTAAAGCTACAAAATCTTAAAAGTAGCGTAGCTACAGCTAACGCTACAAAAAAAGTAGCGCGCTACTAACTGTAGCGTCGCTACTTGTAGCGCGCTACTTCCCAACACTGTTTATCTAGTGTACTAATATACTAGCCTAGATTTCAGTTTTCTAATTTGCCTAGCGAGCACAATTTTATTGACCTGTTTAAAGTTCCCTTTGGGCTCCCCCAGTTTGAAAAAGGATATATCAACTATATTGAAGCCTCCAGTACAAACCCGGATCGATGTTATCGAAGCAGAATGGAGGAAATTCGAGAGGGATCACGAGAAAATATGTGATTCAAAAGCTGACATACTAAAAGACCTAGACTACATAAATGAAGATCACTACAGTCAAGCCCTTGAAGCCTATATGGTAAGCAAATCTGCAATGCTTGTTCTTTTAGATGAGTAAATTCTCAACAAAATCAAAGCACATCTGATATCAATACATCTAGTTCTATGAGTAAATCAAATCAACCTATTCTACCTAAAATATCTCTACCTCAATTCTCAGGAAGTTACCAGTCTTGGAAACCATTCCATGATCTTTTTTCTTCACTAGTGATCCAAAATCCTAACTTTTTTAACTCATGTAGCTAAGTTACACTATCTCAAAACCAGTTTGTCAGGTGATGCTGCTCAATTGCTAACCAATTTTTAAATAACAGGAGAAAATTTCATGCCAGCTTTGGAAAAACTTGTGACTAGATATGAAAACAAACGTGTTTTAATCAAAAGGCATTTGACTTATTCTCCATAAGAATAACATGGGGATTTTAAATTTACTGTTTTTTGGAATTTTCTCCGTAACCATTAGGTGCACAATAACGCTCCAATATACTTAATTATTTGTTTTTTTTATGCTCTACAAAATGGTGTGAAAATAAATTGTAAAATTTTGTGTTTTTAGGGTCAAAAATGGGTAAACCTATTTTTACCCCATAAAACCCCCCATAAACCCCCGTTCCCATAGTCTGATCATGCTGGTTCGCGAACTCTTTCGAATAAATGTAGGTTTACACGTTTGTACCAAATTTCATCAAAATCGGATCATTTTTGCTCGAGTTATCGTGCTAACGGACACATATATATATATATATTAATAATTGGAAACATTATAACAACATTAAGTACCCTTTAAATTCATTTTAATTAAGAAACGACATGTTTCGACACTTAGGTCATAGTCATGTTTTTATACAAATACAATAACAAATTAATGAAAGGAATAAATATAGTCATATGTTATGCTAACTTAAAATTAATAATACAGGTATCGCATAGGACTACCATGATTCATTTGCAGTATAGAAATTATTGAGCGGAGCGAAGCGAAGCGAGCGAAGCTCTTACTACACTCCTGCTTTTGTTTTACAAATACTCCTCCTGAACGGCTGAAGCGATCTGCACAAAATTTAGCACAGTCATAGTAACCAACCATATGGGAAGGTATAAATAGGCTGATGCACCCGTATTGCGTTTGGATACTGTAAATAACTTTTACCTAACCCGCCATGTTAAACTTCCCTATCCCAAGCGTGATGTATAGGCCTACAACTTCTTTACTTCTCGAGTGAGGTAATGAAACCCATTTAAATAACATTGAGTGCTTAACTTTAAAAAATATACCTCTATGGAGCCAACGACGTTCAATGCTAGAAATCAGCTGTGCGCTTGAATTTTATTGTTATGTTTTGAAGAATTTTCCTAACCTAGCTTTTGTTTGTAAATGAACGTTACTGTTAGAAGATGAGTGAAATGGATAGTGAAAAATATTGTTCGTAACCTCCTGTATATTGTCGGGTCAGGTAAAATCTTGTACGTTACACGTTACGCAAGAGCGTGTTTACATCACTTAGGTAAATTATGCAACTCGCTTCCGCTCATTGCACAACATTCACCTGAGTGATGTAAAAACGCTCTTACTACACATTGTAAGGTAAATAGCTATTACAGTATTTTATGTGAACAAGACGTGCCATTAATGTAGACTTTGAATATGTACTGCAATTCCTATTTGCAGTCTACAAATAGGAATTCCATTAATGTGAACCAAATATAACACTCATAGTTTCGATACTGCAATGAGACAATTCGTTGAAGTGAACCCGACGTGTCATTGACTTTGAATACTACACATAGACATCCCATATAAGTGTAGCAGAAGTAGGTCTAAGCCTACCATCGACTTCGGATACTGCAATTAGGCATTTTATTTAGGTGAACAAAATAAATGGACCATTGATTTAGGATATTGCAAGTAGACTATTCATTTACATGTACCATTGAGTTTGGATACTACAAGTAAACAATCCGTCTACGTGAACCAGACATACCATTGACTTTAGAATCTGTAAATAAGCATTCCATTTATGCGAACCAAATATCATTGGCATTGGATACTGCAAGTAGACTAGAATTTATGAGAACCAGATGAAACATAGAATATGGTTCCTGCAAGTAGACAATTCATTCATTTAATCCTGACTTATGATTGACTTTGGATACCTACTGCAAATAGGCATTCTATTTAAAATGCGAACCAAATATATTATTGACATTGAATTAATATGCTGGCTCCGCTCAATATTGCAAGCAGACAACTGCATTGTATACCTAGTAAACTTAGTACCCAAGTAAAAATGATTTATTAAAATATTTATTTACCGACTATAGCTTTGGCTCTAAGGCCATTTTCAAAAACCATGACTTTGAAAATGACTTTAGAGCCGAAACTATAGTCAGTAAATATTAATTTTAATAAATAATTTTTACTTGGGTACTAAGTTTATTAATGTTTGATCTTCCTATATATATATTAATAATATTATAATCAATATAACATAAAACTTACATATAATACAAGACTTAAGAGATAGGGGGAAAAAAGAAAGAAAGAGAATGCAAACAAATCCTTTAGCTATTTTCAAATCAAGGAGCTATGCAAAGCACAAATTTCAAAGCTATTGATCAGAACTGAAAGGCTGATTAGAAATAAAGCTGGCAAGAAGACTAACTACAATAATGATTAAAAATAGAAAAATTTACCAGTTTTTAGACAGCAGCACATTTAATTTAGTTACTATTTGGACTTTACTTGTACCCAAACTTGTCACACATGCAATAAAGCAATGAACACTCTATGTAGGTACAGGAGATTCAGAATCACTGTAATAGATCACAAAAAACTAGCTTCTTGTATCATTAAATATTTAAGAGTGTAATCCTGACAAATATCACTATCAATGTTTTGCAAAGCTAAATTAACAATGTATATACCTGAAGTGAGAAATTGAGTTGAAGTTCAGTGTCCAAAAGTCCATTTGGAGGCAGCACCATTTCATTAGACCGTAATGTGCGTTTTGAGCCCTAAAAGAATGAAAAGTTATATAAGTGCCAAATAAAAAAACTAGCTGTTGCCCATCAAAACTTGTCCACTAGATGGCTAGGATGGCTGGACGCAGACATGGATGGGTATTTTAGAATTTTAGCCTCCTGATTGCATTTAAATACTAAATAATTGGTGTAAATACTTAATGCTTAAGGGTCAATCCATTTCAAGTGGTCCAAAGGTAGTTGCTTCAAGATTTTTAATTTTTTTCATATTTTTATCCTTAAAAGTACATATCATTAGAAGTACAAAAATACTATTATTTTATTTTTATTTAATTTTTCTACTGTATGGCGGCCATTTTTTTGTTAGTCGAATGCCCGTTTTCAGCGATTTCAGAGCTCTACGTTAAATTAAATATCTCTGGTTCTACTAATCCTAGAACATTAAAATAAAAACCAATCTCTTCAGAAAGATCTAAACTTTAATATGGTAATATAGTTATGCACTTAAAACTAAATATATAGGTCTAATTACCTGTTTAAAGTTTAACGCAACGATGTTACGAAAACAGATTTTTAACAATTTATTTTTACATAAAGGCAATTGACTATGTGTTTGTTATTTTTTTATCTGATAGTTATAGGTGTGTACTCCAAATTCTCAAAGTTTCAAGTTGTGGACTTGCATAGGGTATTAAATACAAAATTTCAAAATCTTAAAATTTTCAAAATTTCAAAAGTTTGACGCTTAATATCTCTGTTGGGCATGACAATACAAATTTCTAATTTGGCTCAGATATAGTACTAAGTAAGAGTATTATCCTGTAATAATTTTATTTTGTGGACTCAACTGGTTTTTAAGTTATGAAACATTGTAAAGTACTCAAATAAGCATTATACGTGTAATAGCGTAGGAAGCATAATATGATATTATAATACACTATCAATGTATTTTATTAATGTTATATTTTAATAATATATTTTAAGCATTTTGATGTTTTAAAACACTCTACTTTGCTGTCTGCCACAGGTACAAATCTGTGAAAGGATTGTGTTCAGGGAATTGGTAGACGTCCTTTAAATCAAAATCGAAGTTCTAATTCTTTTTTTGCTACTTCTTCACTGTCTACATAAAAGTATTGAATACCTTTAAGGTTTTTTAACAAAAGTTAAACATATCCTTAGCATTCAAAATTTGGTTGTCAATGGTACATTGTAGACTATTAGTGACTTCGCTCTTTGTAGTGCCTCCTACACCATTGCAGGCATTTTTTCCGTGCGCAGTAGTGTATCAAAAAATGCCTCGCATCTGGTATTTTAGTACCTGTGACTGAATATTTCAGTAAAAAAATTGTTTTATGATACTGTATAGCCACGGCCACCTATAAATCCAGGCCGAGGCCTGGTAGAATTTGCAACGTCACAAGTAGTGTATTTAGCGCCAGACGTTCCATAAGATAACATGGCTGACTTGTGTATTATTAATTTAAATTTATGAAGATAAATGAATTAAAAGAAAATAAATCACATAGGGTTTAAAACCAAAACAATATTAATTTAAAAACTATTTCTATAAATTTAAAGTCGAGTCAATATTTTCCGATGGTGTAGGAGGCACTACAAAGAGCGAAGTCAATAATAGAGTCTACAATATACCATTGACAACCAAATTTTGAATGCTAAGGATATGTTTAACTTTTGTTAAATACACCTTTAAGGTATTCAATTCCTTTATGTAGACAATGAAGAAGTAGCAAAAGATGAATTAGAACTTCAATATTGATTCAATATTGAAGGACGTCTACCAATTCCCTGAACACAATCCTTTCACAGATTTGTACCTGTGGCAGACAGCAAAGTAGAGTGTTTTAAAACATCAAAATGCTTAAAATATACTATTAAAATATAACATTAATAAAATACATTGATAGTGTATTATAATATCATATTATGCTTCCTACGCTATTACACGTATAATGCTTATTTGAGTACTTTACAATGTTTCATAACTTTAAAACCAGTTGAGTCCACAAAATAAAATTATTACAGTATAATACTCTTACTTAGTACTATATCTGAGCCAAATTTGAAATTTTTATTTTCATGCCCAACAGAGATATTACGCTTCAAACTTTTAAAATTTTGAAAATTTTAAGATTTTGAAAAGTCCACAACTTGAAACTTTGAGAATTTGGAGTACACACCTATAACTATCAGATAAAAAAATAACAAACACATAGTCAATTGCCTTTATGTAAAAATAAATTGTTAAAAATCTGTTTTCGTAACATCGTTGCGTTAAACTTTAAACAGGTAATTAGACCTATATATTTAGTTTTAAGTGCATAACTATATTACCATATTAAAGTTTAGATCTTTCTGAAGAGATTGGTTTTTATTTTAATGTTCTAGGATTAGTAGAACCAGAGATATTTAATTTAACGTAGAGCTCTGAAATCGCTGAAAACGGGCATTCGACTAACAAAAAAATGGCCGCCATACAGTAGAAAAATTAAATAAAAATAAAATAATAGTATTTTTGTACTTCTAATGATATGTACTTTTAAGGATAAAAATATGAAAAAAAATTAAAAATCTTGAAGCAACCAATTAATTTATTTCTGGACCACTTGATATGGATTGACCCTTAATGTAAATAATTAATGCGATTAATGTGTTGCTAAATTCCAACCGGTTTCGACTCACAAGGGAGTCATCGTCGGACCAGTACAGATGTCTGGTACAGATATTCGAAAGGTCGTCAATTCATAATAAATAAATACATTTAATACGCACATGTACACAAACATGACAACGAACATTTAGGGTTAAAAACGAAGGGTAGCCTAATACTAGAACGGTAAAGGGACACAACGTGATCGGGCGGGGGCGGGGGTTATGTCTAGACTGCTGGTCAGGATCAGCACAAATGTACCGATCCAGACAATAATTGAAATATTAGAACAAAATTTGCATAAACATTCCAATCTACCCCTTCAAGCAATAACGAGCTCAGAGCACTTATAAAAATAGTGTTGAAACAGAATTATTTTAAATTTGAAAATAGTTTTTACAACCAGAAAGATGGGCTAGCAATGGGTTCTCTGTTATATTCCTCAACCACATTGAAAACAAGCATTTGTTTACCTCAGATAATCGTTTCAAAGATAAGATAATCTTTTATTACAGATACGTGGACGACACCATAGTTCTGTTCAATGGTAACAACAGACAGCTCTTTTTGCTAATCAATTACTTGTGTAACATGCATAAAAATATTAAATTCACATTAGAAGAGGAAACCAACAATCGCCTGAATTTTTTGGACTTAACAATAACAAAGCAAAATGATAATTTCACATTCAAAATATATCGGAAACCAACTAGTACAGATCAGACCATCCACTCAGATTCCCATCATCCATACTCTCAAAAATTAGAAGCTTACAACAGTTTTGTCCAGAGGCTCCTCCCCGTAGCAAATAAACACACGGTATAGATTATACCGAAGAACTCAATACAATAAAACATATAGCTGTTTCCAATGGTTTCCAAAGCATCCTGATTGACAAACTGATTTCCAAGCACAAAAATAAAAATACCCCCACCACAGCAAACCTGCAGACTAAGCGAATTTCTATTTACCTGGCTGGATTCCTACTAAAATATTCCCTGAAAAATGTCAGAATTATTTCCTATTTAAATTACATTAATTTTAATAAGTACTTAGGTTTGTTGTTACAGGGAAAGTATTGAGGTGTGTTTTTGATTGAAATGTTGATAGCTTTGTATGAAATAAACAAAATTGCCAAATTTGATTCAAATATGTCCATAAACAAGCAAACTAAAACAGTTTATTAATCTATCTATCTATCTATACTATTATAAAAAAGAGGTGGTTGCTGTATGTGTGTATGTGTGTATGGGAAAAGTAAACTCGAAAAATACTGGTCGGATTGGGCTGAAATTTGGCATGATGATAGCTCACATTCCCGATTAACATATAGGCATATTCTTATTTCAAAAATCCTTTCGGGCTCCGCCCCAGTGGCTCTGGAGTTTCCCATGTTAACCTTATGAGAAATTTATTGAATCTTAACAGCTGTTTCAATTAAACAAGTTGGTTCTGTTCTATGATGTTCAATAGCATTAAAGTTACAAGGATTACCAACAGGGTGCAGCACTATTATTTCTTTTACATTTATGACAACAGCTAATTTGCAACCAAAAGGTGAGTGAGCGTAGCGAACAAACTTCAACCTGGAGGCGAGTTAGCGTAGCGAACAAGCTAACCTGAAGGCAAGTGAGCGCAGCGAACGAGCTCCAACCTAAAGGTGAGTGAGCGTAGCGAACGAGCTCCAACCTAAAGGTGAGTGAGCGTAGCGAACGAGCTCCAACCTAAAGGTGAGTGAGCGTAGCGAACAAACTTCAACCAGGACGTGATTGAGCCATGCGAACGAGATCATCTTGAAAATTAAGAAGTTAAACGGGGCGAAGCCCGCGGGTTACAGCTAGTTCTACATAAGAATAGAATGGGAATTTCAAATTTAAAGTTTGTTTCAATTACCTCGGTAACTGTTCAACAACGCTACAACATACTAAATTATTTCTTTTTTTAAGCTCTACAAATTGGTCTAGAAAGAAATTGTAAAATTTTTATGATTTTAGTATCTAAAATCGGAAAAACCAATTTTTACCCCATAAAGCTTAAAAGCTTAATGGACCTGTTCCCATGGTCCGATTATGCTGCTTCGGGAACTTGTTCGAATAAACGTAGGACAAAACTGATGTCCACCCTACATCAAATGTCAAGTTCCTTGGATTGACCTAAGACGGGAAACTTAGTTTTCATGGCAATATCAAATACATTTAAAAAAAACTCAGTTCTGGTATTTTTGTTCTACGTAACCTGAGGAACAATGAGAATCTGGAGACACTGTTGACAGCATACTATGGGTTCATTAATTTATCCTCACTTAGCATATGCCGTTCCTATTTGGGGATGTGAGTGCCAGCAGACTAAAATGTTGTTTAAA